TAAACCTTGTGTATGCACCTGCTACCTGGTAGCAGTCACTGTATGGGCTCACAGGGTCGTGATGGACAGTAAGTAAACCCTGGCATGTGAAGTGCTTTGCGCACAGGAAGTGTGCCGGTTATTAACCCTGTGGGCATCATCTTTGTACCCACCCTACACACTCCTGTGAATAGCACCTGCTTGGCAATTGCAAGGTGCTCACATACATGGCGGGTACACTGGAAGGAAGTAGCAGCAGTCCACAGGCTTGGCAAAGTGTGCCTGGCACAGATCATGAAACACACACACACACACACACACACACACACACACACACACACACGAGTTATGGAGGCTGCCTTGAATTCTGCTGTTTCATTGACCTTACTGAGAAAGAACTCCCTCCCAGTGGGCTGGACCCTGGGAAGATTTCACTGGGAGGCAGCTGCTGGAGACATAGAGGCTGGTCATTCCAGCATGCAAGGGTCACTGGTGAGGAGGCTGTGTGGAGGGACCATCTAAAAGATAACTAACTTTCAAGATTGACTTCTGTTTCCCAGTCATGCTGGGAAATGTTCCCAGTTTACAGATGTGGGACAAGTCTGGGGGGGGGGCAGAGGAGGTCTCAGGATCCCTGCAGAGGGTTCCAGGTTTGGGGGTTCCTTTGCAAAGCTTCCAGGATGTCCTCCACTCCTACAAAGTCCCGACCTTTCCCTAGTACTTAGGAAGCTCCAAAGAGGGGTGGCCCACCTCTTAGAAGCAGAACTCTGCTAACCCCATCTTTAGGCAGATGTCTGGGGTCCCTCAGAGCTTCTGGGAGGCATAGGACTTCCATTGTTCCAGCCCCCTCTTGTACCCGACTGGCCAAACCGGTTCTGGGGAAGGGGGGCGGGGAGCAGGCACGTTGAGACAGCCGCCTGCCTCTGCGAGGCTCCCTCACCCTCGCCTCCCCCCTCCCTGCCCCACACAATACCCAGGAGCTTGCATTGCCCAGCATTGGAGCCATGCTGGCATGGTCCTCTGAGGACTTGGCTACAACCCCATTGCCCCCAGGGTGGCCTGGAGCCCTGGAGTGTACCAGCCGCTGGACAGAGGAGCTCCCTGGCTGAGGTAGGGCCCTGGGTCACCAGCCCATCCTCCTCTTGCTGTGTCCCGAGGGAGTCCTTTGTGCTGTACCTCCGGGCTGCTGTTTCTGTCTCCAACCCGTTCTTGGCCTCCTGGTGCTCTGCTTGACTTGGAACCCCCTTTCCAGGCATGACCTCCTACTAGCTTTTGTCCCTTAAGGAGCCAGGGATTCTGTCTGGCAGGGTCTCTGTTTTTCTGAGCAGGGAGCCAAGGGGTACTAAGAACGGAGGGCAGGGCAAGGTACCGGGACCAGTGGTACTGTCCCAGACAGCAACAGTGCCTAGGGATGCTGTTGCCCACTCTAGCTAGTAGCACCCCTGCGCAGACCACTCCTTGGCTCTACCAATCCTTCTCAGCCTGCAGAGACACCTATGGCACAGGTTTCTTAGAGGAGGCTTCTGGGGGACTTTAGGATCGCTTGACACACAAGGATACCAAGTCTCAAGGAAGGACTTATAATTTGCCTAAAGCCTCACAGGGCTGCTCAGTGTCAACACAAGACCCTGACTCTGGTTTCCAGAGTGACCCTTGCCTCGTGAGCACTGGTCTGTCCTGGAGTCACATCTGGCTGGAGCCAGCCACCTGAAGCCAGTCCTCCCTGACCTTTTTATATTAACAGAAAAGTGCTACACATTATTAAATCCAGCTCCCGGCCCGAATCACCGATATCAAGGCTGGGTGCACTGAGCCCTGAAAGGCTACTGGACTGACACCCCAGCTTGACAGGCCATCCCCATGGCCCCTGGGCCTGAGCACAGTGGGGGCTACACATTCTCTGCCACCCTTTTTTATTCTGTATTCCAGAAAGCTCTGCACATTCCCTCAGCTCCCCCAGCCTTCTCTGAGGTCTTAATTGAAGATGCCTTAAGGTCCAAAGTTTTGTTTATTTAGCCTTATAAATCACAGGAGAGGGACTCATTTCCTGTTCCCTAGGGGCTTCTAGGGCGGGGTATGTTCTCACACCTAAAAGAGACCCCTGTGGTGGACAGAAGCGAGCTGTGTCCCCTCCCACTTGCCACTGCCACTGGCTGCTGGCCCAAGCCGTCCCCTGCCAAAGACTGGGAATGTAACCATCCATAGGGGGACTGCCTATCGATGACAAGGCTCCCACCATGCCCTGTGCCCGGGGCACCTCCTGTGTACCGCCGTTAATTCTTGTATTAGCAGTTAGGAAGTTGGTACCAGCTCTCTCACTTGGCAGGCTGAAGAAACGGAGGTTCACACTGACTTACCCAGAGGGGCACTATAGACTTGGGGGGCAAAAGCTAAGTAAGGGAGTGAGTACGGTACAGCTGCTGTTTTTGTTTGGGGGAGGGCCCCTGAGGACCAGCCAGCCTTTCCCTCAGGCCCCCCAAGCCAGGAGTACTAGGAGAAGCAGTTGGGGTGCAGTGAGACCCAAGAGTGCTCTACAGTACCCAGTTGCTGTCTCCGATTCAGGCCGGGGATTACTGCCCATCTCTTTGTGCTGGGTCCTTGAGGGTTTTAGTTTTGCAACAGTGAGCTGGGACCTCCTCCAGGAAGCCTTCCTGGCATACTCAGATTGGGCTGGGCCCAGCCCCCTACTGTTAGTGCCTGTGACTTGTTTCTTGCCAACTCAGATTATAACTGCTTTTGTTTCTTTGGCTCTCCCACTGGACTGGCAACCCCACTGGGCATGAGCTATTATTTGTTCATCTGTCTCCCTGTTTTTTGTTTGTTTGTTTTTGTTTGTTTGCTCCCTGGACTTCCCATCTCCCTGAGCATCTGGGGGCTGTCAGAAATCCTCCGTTGTCTCAGGCTCTGGGCCTCAAGTGTCTCAGCCTCTGTGGTTTTTCTCCCTCGGTGTCTCAGAGTCGGTTCCTGAGCTGTTGTTGTCTCCAAGGCCGCTATTTCTCTGGGTCTCCCTCTTGTTTCTCAGACTGGCCACACTGCCCCTTTGGCCTGAGGGGCCTCTGCAGGGGTCCTTGCTGCCCAGACTGCCTACAGCGCAGCCAGGCAAGTGTAGGCCCCCGCCCAGCCCCAGCCCGCTGCCTGCTCCCTCCCTCCCTCTCCTCGCCTCACCACAGGGTTTGATGAATCAAACCCTTTGTCTGGGTGGGATCTCCCCCAGCCAGCTGGGCAGAGAGAGGGCTTCCCCTGCCGGAGCGGGCAGACAGCATCAGCAACAGGCTTCAGTCTCTGCTGACGAGGTGAGGGGCAAGAGGGAGGCCACAGAGGGCACCCTGGCGGAGGCTGAAGGGGCTTGGACCTCTGGGCTCATCATCCTGTCCTGGGGTTGCTGGCAGACTGCCTGGGGATGGCATTCTGCCCAGAAATGGCCCATTCTGCCTGGCTTGGTCTAGTGTCTGGGAGCCGGGATGGGGATAAACCCCTCTGTCATCTCAAACTGGGGATTGGGCATCTCCATGCTCTTCCCTGGGAGGGACTAATCTGGGTGGTGGCCCGCCTGCCAGTCTATGACCCTCCCAGCCAGCCTGGCAAGGGTGTAGGCATCACTCAGCATGAAGGCCTCAAGTCTGGGTATGGAAGGGGGTGGATAACATCAGAACAAGGACATTGGGGCCCGTATGTATCTGGATCCTGGTGTGTGTGCCTGGAACAGTGTGAGGAAGTTTGGTGTGTGTGTGTGAGTGTCTGTGTGTGTGTGTGTAAGGCAATGGGTTGGTGTGTGTCACTGAGAGAAAGTTTCTAAGCCTGTGTGACAAAGCAAAACAAAAAAAGTATGTGAGTGTATATCTGCATTTGAGATGTCTCAAGTTATCTACGAAAGTACATGTGCCAGAAGAAAATGTGTGGCTGTGTGTTGGAACACGAATTTGTGTGACAACCTATGTTATCTACATGTGTGTTAGAGAATGTACGGGGGTGGCTAAAACGCAGATGTGGGAACCCTGGCTCTACCATTCGGTAGATAGCACCTGTGTGCCCCACTTTCCTCACCTACAAAATGGGGGTAACAGCATCGGTTTTGAAGGCTGGTGGAGATTAAATGAGATGTTAAGTGGGCACTTGTTTAATAATTACTGAATAATACGATTGCTAAACGCGCATGTGAGTGTGTTTGTGTAGCTGTGTACATGTGCACAGGAGGGTTTGTTGGTGCCTCCAGGGCATGGAGGCTCACAGGCCCTCCCTGTTAAACTATATCTGGGTCTGATCCCTTTTCCCATGGCAGGCCCAGGAGGGTGGAAGAGCAAAGGAGGAATGGACTGTGGGCCACCTGCAACCCTCCAGCCTCACCTGGCTGGACCGCCTGGCACTGCCCGCCGCCCAGTAGCCGTGTGCCAGCAGGAAAGCCTGTCCTTTGCGGAACTGCCCACCCTGCATCCTCCAAGCCCAGTATGCGTGGACCTTTTCCCCATTGCTCCAGAGGAGCTACAACAGGCTCCTGGTAGCCGTTGGTCCCTGGCGACCCCTGTCCCTCTCCAAGGACTGTTATGGCCGCCATCCCCAGGAGGCCCAGGTACCCATATCTCCACCAGTGGAGGAATGAGACCCAGCAGGGCTGGCAGCTGGCCCCACTGTCCTGGTGCCCAGCCCCCAACTCTGGTGGGACCCTGGAGCTCTCAACACAAGCAGCCCCAGCGCAGGGCCAGCCACGGTGGCTCAGAGAAGAAGTCAGCCTGTGAGTCACCCTGGTGGGGGGGAGCCTTTTGGGGCAGCTAGGGGAGGAACTGGGTGGCACTTTTTGAACTCTGTAAACTTCAGAATGTCCCAGAAGACAGGACAAGTTTTAACGACAAGGGAAAGATGGCTCATAGGGTCCAGGGGACTTGCCAACATTATATAACCAGTTCAGCAGCCCCTGTTCTGGTTTCCTAGCTCTCCACAGTCATGACCTCTGCTACCTCATTGCCCTGGGGATCTCATTTTGTTGCTCGGGGTCATGCCGCCACAAGGAGGAAGATGGTACAGTCTACAGTGGGTGACAGATGTTATTTTACTCCCACCTCTAGGGCGCAAGATGCAAGTGTATAATAATGAAGAGACCACTGGTGGCATCGAGACCCCCACGGGCCTCTTGGCGACTGGCCAGGCCGCACAAGAGCAGGCTCTGTGTGCGGAGGAGCCCAGGCCGCAGGAGCTTTCCGGAAACACCAGAGGGGGCCTTGAGGCTCAGGAGCGAAGGCGTTTCTCAGCCTCTGAACTGATGACAAGGCTCCACTCGTCTCTGCGCCTGGGGCGCACGGCCACCAGGGCTCTGACTTCAGGGTCAGGTGCTGGAATCACCAGGGAAGGTACCCAGATTTTCTCCCGGACACTGAGGGCAGCCTGAGCCAGGCGGGTGGGACACAGCCCCACCACCCGTGTTAACATCTTCAGGTGATCAGCTGGGTGACCCACGCGCGTCGTTCTCTGGATCGCCCACTCCCAGCTCTTGCTTTCTCTAGGGAAACTGCCCGTGAGGGAATCTCGAAGAGCAGAGATGAGGGTGGTCAGCGTGTCGCTGTCAGCACCTGTCGACCCAAATGAGGTTCGCGGTGGTCTCCTGGAACCCAGGTACCCACCTCTCTCTTGGAGCTTGGGTTGGGGAGGGATGCAAAGAGGTGCTGACACTCTTTCCTAGGCTGGACACGCACGAAAAGCCCTCCCAGGATCCCAGCAGCGCCACCGAGAGGCGCCAGTCCCGTTTCCTCCTTAACTGTAAGTGCAGAGTCGCTGCGAGGGGATGGGACGGGGGATGGGGCCCGAGGCGTTGGAATCTGGAAAGCCTGTTTTGAGGGAGTTGGGAAGTAGAGACAGTGTGCGCGAGGGAGAGAATTGCAGTACCAGTGTTTAGCAGGTGGGCTGGCATGCAGTTGGTGCCCAATTAGTGTTTCTGGCATGGGTAAATGAGCACCCCCCCCTCCCCGCCCAGCTGTCCTCTACCAGGAGTACAGCGACGTGGCCAGCGCGCGCGAGTTGCGGCGGCAGCAGCGCGAGGAGGAGGGCCCCGGAGACGGGGCGGAGGGAGCGGAGGAAGGGCCCGGGCCACCGCGCGCCAACCTTTCCCCGAGCAGCTCCTTCCGCGCGCAGCGCTCGGCCCGAGGCTCCACCTTCTCGCTGTGGCAGGACATCCCCGACGTGCGCGGCAGCGGTGTCCTGGCCACGCTGAGCCTGCGCGACTGCAAACTGCAGGAGGTGAAGGGCGGGGCTAGAGGCAGGAGATGGGGACCCACGGGAAATTAGAGGCCATCCACGTGGAGAAGGGGTGGGAGATCCTGGGGAAAGACTCGGGAGCCCAGAGGGGAAGCAAGGAAAGGGGGCGAGAAGAGCGGAACCTCGGATGGGGCGAGGCGAGAAGGCAGGTGATGGGGACCCTAGGGAAATGAAAGACTGTCTACTTGCTTGGTGGGTGGGGGAATCTATGAAGCTCAGAGAAAAGCCTGGGCGGGGTCTAAACAGGAAGGAGGAGCCTATGACAGGGGCGGAGCCAGAAGTAGTTGTTGGGGCGACTCAGCTGGGCACAGGGACTGTCAAAGAGTGAGGGAGAAGACTGGAAAGGTAAGAGAGGGATCGGGAGGGGCGGAACCTAGAACGGGGCAGGACCAAGTGCAAGTGATCAGAAACTTAGTAGGAGTGAGGCATTATCAACGTGGAGAGCAGGTGGGAAGACCTGGGAAAGTAAGGGTCCTGGAAGCCGAAAGGGGAAGCCAGGGGAGAGGGCGGGATCAACAGGGTGGGGCAACACAAGGGCGGGGCCGTTGAGAGCACACTCCCTGTTTGGGGCGGGGCCAAAGGCAGATGCTGGGCGTAGCCGAGCGCGCAATGGGCAGCTCACACTCTTGGGAAAGACCGAAGTAGTCCGAAGATTGTCAGTTGGTAGCTTCGGGCACGCCCAGGCCCCAGCCAGATTATCCGTAGGTCTGGGAAGGGGCAGGAAAATGGTGTCTATAGAGACCTCATCCTGTTGGGAGACTTGAGACCCTGGTCCCGGGTGGCCCGGCGTTGCTCTCACCACCACCCTCCCTTAGGCCAAATTTGAGCTGATCACCTCGGAGGCCTCCTACATCCATAGCCTGTCTGTGGCCGTGGACCACTTCTTAGGCTCCGTGGAGCTGAGCGAGTGTCTGGGGACTCAGGACAAGCAATGGCTATTTTCCAAACTGCCCGAGGTCAAGAGCACTAGCGAGAGGTGAGGGAGTGACCTGGTCTGGCTAAGCGTGGGGACAGAGGTCTAGAGCGGCGCCTTTGACCTCGGCTCACCTGGCAGGTTTCTTCACGATCTGGAACAGCGCCTAGAGGCCGACGTGCTGCGCTTCAGCGTGTGCGATGTTGTTCTGCGCCATTGCCCTGCCTTCCGCCGGGTCTACCTGCCCTACGTCACCAACCAGGCCTACCAGGAGCGCACCTACCAGCGCCTGCTGTAGGAGGGGCTCTGCGGGGCGGGGCGGGGGGTGTGGGCAGGTGTAGGAGCAGAGGACTGGGTGAGGCAGGCTCCGTCAGGGAGGCCAGGGCTTCCAGGAAGAAGTTCTGTTCCTGGGATAAGTGAGGCCCACTGCATGGGGGCAGGTGTGCCGAGAGACCCACCTGTGACAGCCCGTTCCGCCCACTGTCCAGCCTAGAGAACCCCAAGTTCCCTGGCATCCTGGCTCGCCTAGAAGAGTCTCCTGTGTGCCAGCGGCTGCCTCTCACCTCCTTCCTCATCCTACCTTTCCAGAGGGTCACCCGCCTCAAGATGCTGGTGGAGGTAGCACACTTCAGGAAGGATGGGGAGGGAGAGGCTGGCCTGCCACTGGTGGTTATGTCTGTGTTGTTATATCAAGTTTGCCTTCCTTTTTAGTAGCATATATTAGTTGTGCATAACAGGTTCCATTGTGACATTTCCATACACACACAGGTCGTACTCCACCGCCTTTTCCCTTGTGTGCCCTCCCACTGGTCTCCTTCCTCTTCCGGGTGGCCCCTCCCTCCACTTTCATGTCCTTCCCTGTGTGACCCAATGAGTTTCAGTGGGGCGGCTTAAGGAGCTCAAGTGAGGGGTTATTTACAGGAACATGGGTGTCCTACTACAACACTCAAGAACATGTCTCTCTCTCCCACCAGAATATCTTGAAGAGGACGGCACCAGGCTCTCAAGATGAGGACATGGCCACCAAGGCCTTCAGTGCACTCAAGGAGGTGAGCTCAGGGGCCAGAGCTGTGGGCTCCTCTTCCCCCGGTGGGAGCCCAAATGACTCCCCACCCCGTCCCCAGCTGGTACAGGAATGCAACTCCAGCGTGCAGTCCATGAAGAGGACCGAGGAGCTCATCCACCTGAGTAAGAAGATCCACTTCGAGGGCAAGGTAAGGCACAGCCCTTGCTTCCTCCTTCCTCTGGGGGTAAGGGGGCCAGTAGTCACTGCCCATGGCCTCCCTTCCCTGCTCTGGCCTTACCCAGCTCGCCCTCCCCACTGTCTGCCTCTTTCTCTAGATCTTTCCGCTGATCTCACAGGCCCGCTGGCTGGTGCGGCACGGGGAGCTGGTGGAGTTGGCCCCCCTGCCCGCCGCGCCACCCGCCAAGCTGAAGCTGTCCAGCAAGGCCGTGTACCTTCACCTCTTCAATGACTGCCTGCTACTGTCCCGGAGGAAAGAGTGAGTGGGAGGGAGAGGCCGGGGAGGTCAGAGACTCCATCCTTCATCTCCAGAGCAGGGCTTGCCTCCTAGAGCCTCAGAGCCTCCATTGGTACCAGGCTGAACCACAGGGTGTCCTGGGCCTTGGAGGCTCCTCAGCGGGAGCAGTGAGGCAGGTCCATCTATCAGGCAGAGCTGAGGGGTAGACTGTGTCCTGGGAGCTTGCCACTGCTCTGAGCCTAGGGCAGTGACAGACACACAGCCAGGCCCAGCCCTTGCCAGGTAAGTGATAAGCACCCAGCAGCTTCCCTGTGCTGGCACGCTGCATGGACTGTTCCTGTCTGTGCAGAAGATGCCTCCCTGGCAAGCAGGTCGCCAGGAGATGGCCAGCTCCTTGTTACCCACTGCCCGGCTATGTCCTGCCCCCACAGCTAGATTTTACTAGTGAGCAGGATGAAGAGAGAGAGTTTGGAGGGGTGAAAAGGCAGATATCTTTTATTTTGTGTGTGTGGAGGTCAGGGGGCAAGTAGGGGTCATTTCTCTTCTTCTATCATGTGGGCGTGGGGATCAAACTCAGGTCACCAGGGTTGGCAGCCTTTACCCACTGAGCCGTCTTGCCACCCCAAGGTCCCTCATGACAATAGATGAGTTCATTCCTGACTGGTTCAGGGAGTAAAGTGTCCCTGTATTGCTGGGCTACACTGGCTGTATGTCGCACGCCGAGACATAAGTGTGAATGAGATTTGCTCTCTGTCCACCCAAGTCCAGTTCATAACCATGTCACTGGTTTTTATGTTTTTGTTTGTTGTTGTTGTTGTTGAGCATTTTAGTTTTGAGACAGGGTCTCACTTAGTAACTCTTGACTGGCTTGGAACTCACTGTGTACAGTGGGCTTGCCTAGGACTCACAGAGATCTGCCTACCTCTGTCTTCCAAACACTAAGATTAAAGGTGTGTATTACCAAACCCTGCCTGGGTTGTTTGTTTGTTGTTTATAAGACAGGGTCTCATTCTGTATTCCACACTGACCTGAAACACCCTACATTGTCCAATTTTTTTTGGTTGTTTGTTTTTTGTTTTTTCGAGACAGGGTTTCTCTGTAGCTTTGGAGGCTGTCCTGGAACTCATTATGTAGACCAGAACTCACAGAGATCTGCCTGTCTCTGCCTCCCGCGTGCTGGAATTAAAGGTGTGTGTCACCACCGCCCAGCCATTGTCCAATTTTGTCTCAAACTCACAGACTCCCTGCCTCAGCCTCCTGACTGTTGGGGTTACAAGCATGGGCTACCATTCGGTTGTTTTTGTTTGTTTGTCTGAATTATATGTCTCTGTGTGGGTGTGATATGTGCAGGTGCCCTCAGAGGTTAAAGGCATAAGATTGCTCTGTAGCTGGGGTTACAGGTGGTTGTGAGCATACGGTGTAGGTGCTGGGACCTGAACGTGGATCCTCTGCAGGAGCAGGAGCAATATGTATTTTAACTGCTGAGCCATCCTTCCGCCTCTGTCTGGGTCTTAATGGGAAGATGTGCTAAGGAGGAATGAGTAAAGTTGCCAGAGGATGAGATATTGGGGCCTATTTGGTTGGATTTTTTGTTTTTTGTTTTGTTTTGTTTGTTTTTGCTTTCTAGACAGGATTTCTCTGTGTAGCCGTGGAACTCGCTCTTAGACCAGGCTGACCTCAAACTCAGATTCACCTGCCTCTGCCTCCTGAGTGCTGAGATTTTTTTTTGTTTGTTTGTTTTTTGGTTTTTGGTTTTTCGAGACAGGGTTTCTCTATGGCTTTGGAGGCTGTCCTGGAACTAGCTGTTGTAGACCAGGCTGGCCTGGAACTCACAGAGATCCGCCTGCCTCTGCCTCCCAAGCGCTGGGATTAAAGGAGTGCGCCACCAACGCCCAGCCGAGATTATTATTATTATTTTTTTTTTTTTGGTTTTTTCGAGACAGGGTTTCTCTGTGGCTTTGGAGGCTGTCCTGGAACTCGCTCTGTAGACCAGGCTGGCCTCGAACTCACAGAGATCCGCCTGCCTCTGCCTCCCGAGTGCTGAGATTATTATTTTTTAATTAAGATTTATTGTATGTGTATGGGTGTTTTACCTACATGCATGTCTGTGTACTACCATGTTTATGCAATGCCCAAAGAGTCCAAGAGAGGGCATCAGATCCCATAGAACTGGAGTTACTGACAGTTGTGAGTTGCCATGTAGGTGCCTGGTTCTGAACCTATCCCCTCAGAAGAGCTCTTAACCACTGAGCCATCTCTCCAGCCCTCAGGCTGCATTTTGAAGAGTAAGAGTTTTGTGTTGGAAAAGACAGAAAAGTTGTGGCAGAACAGTGTGTCTGGGGCATGGAGAAGCCAGGCTGTGGACTGGAGGAGAAAGTAGTATTCCAGGATGGTGGCACACACCTTTAGTCCTGGCACTCAGGAGGCAGAGACAGAGATGGAGGGCAGCCTGTATATAGCAACTTCCAGGCAACAAGGGCTCTGAAGTGAGAGCCTGTCTCTAAACAAACAAACAAATCAAAGAGAAGTCAAGGAAAGGGAGAGGAGGTGTTGAAGGCATAGTAGAGGCGGGGCTTGTTCTGAGGTTAGGGGTGGGGATGTGGGGGTGGTGTGTACAGAGGACAGGGCATTCTGCTTCTGGCCGGTTTGGAGGGTGGAATGGTGAAAGGGACCAGAAGCTCTTAGGTAAGCATAGATGGCCAGGAGGTGGCAGGTGCTTCAGGACACGGGAACAGGAAGACAGAGGAGGGGCCTGCTCGCTCGCTCTAGGCTCTAGTGCATGTATTGGGGGAGGTGGACATGATGTTGGGTGTTATGAGAAGCTTTTCTTGCTAGCTGCTTTGGTTTATCACCCGCCAGTCGCCTGGGCTCTGCCGAGTTGTAGTCCCCAAATAACACACAAGACGCTGTATTAATTATGAAGCTGTTGGCCTTGCTTGGCTAGCTCTGACTTAAGTAATTACCCCATAATTGTTAATCTAAGTATTTCTCTCTTTTTTTTTTTTTTTTTTTTTTTTTTTTTTTGGTTTTTCGAGACAGGGTTTCTCTGTGGCTTTGGAGGCTGTCCCTGAACTCACTCTGTAGACCAGGCTGGCCTCGAACTCACAGAGATCCGCCTGCCTCTGCCTCCCGAGTGCTGGGATTAAAGGGGTGCGCCACCAACGCCCGGCTCTAAGTATTTCTCTTACCGGAGAATAGTTCCAGGCTTCCTACCCCATGGCAGTTACATCTCCAACTCTCCTGTGTTTCTCCTTCCCAGAATCCTCCTGGATTCCTAGCCCCACCTATCTAGATTCCTATTGGCCAGACAGTGCTTTATTGACATATACACAGGACTTCCCCAACAGTTGGGTCCTCCTACACAGCGCAGTGTTGCAGGAGGAGAGCCGGGCCCTGTTTCTGTGCTAGGTTAACAAGCCCAGGACCCGGCACCACCTCCTAGCCTCTTCCCCTCAGGCCCAGCAGCACCTGGTTCTGACTTGAGGGCAGAGAAGCAGCTTCTGCTGTCTTGGTGCAAGTCCCATGGGAGTCCACCTGGAGTCAGGAAAGGGTGCAGGAAGAAACTAAGAGTGTATCTGGGGTGGAGCCTGGCTGCTGTTACCTTCTGCCAGCAGAAGTCCAGGCAGGTGAACTCACAGCAATCCTCCTGCCTTAGCACCCTGAGCTCTGTTTAGATGCCCTGATGGGAGCCTCACTGGTTATTGGGAAATGGCCACTGAAGCCAAGCCTGGAAGAGCAAATGATCCTTCCTCCTCCTTCCATCAGCTCACCTGGT